TCTTCTTCGTCTTTTGGGGCTTGGCAAAGGGCTCGATTAAAGGTGCACTCCACCACAAAGTCAACCAAAGTTTGTGCTTTGATTGCATGTCTCGACTGATACTAGAGGTCGATCTCAAACAGCTCGACAACCCACTTGATTAGTCATCCCAAGGCCTCAGGCTTGGTGATGATGACTTTGAGGGGTTAATTGGTCAGGACCGTGGTAGTGTGGACTTAGAAATACAACTTGAGCTTCCTAGCCAAGACCACTAAGGCAAAGGCCAGTTTCTCCACCTCGAGATATCAGGTCTTGACATAGTATAGAACTTTGTTGACATAGTAGATAGACTTTTGCACTCCATCTTCTTTGAACAGTATCGAGCTAATGGCCTCGTCCTCAACTGAGAAATATAAGTACAACACGTCTCCTAGGAGTGGCCGAGTAAGGAGGGAAGGCGAGGCGAGGTAAGACTTCAACTCTTCAAAGATGTGTTAACACTCTTTCATCCACTAGAAGTTCTTCAGTTTCTTGATGGCTTGGAAGAAAGGTAGGCAAGAGTCAGTTGACTTCGACATGAAGTGGCTGAGGGCAGCCACTCGACCGGTAAGCCTTTGAGTTTTCTTTGTTGGACTGGCCTAGAGCTCGGTTCACGCTCAACCTATGAGTAATGATCGAAGGGTCAATTCCAGGCATGTCAGTGGTAGACCAAGCAAAGACGTCGACAATAATTCTGAGGAAACTTACCAACTCAAATAGGCTTTCTGGGGGAAGGTTGAACCCGACATGGACAATCTTCTCGGGCTCGGCCTCGTCTAGGGAAACTGAGATGAGGTCCTCGGCCGACTGGCCACAGCTCGTTGGTTCCTCCTCGAGGTCGAGGCCCTCCAATGGTAGGGCTTCCTTGTTCTTACCCTTCAGTGCTTCGACGTAACATTGGTGGGCAACTTGCTGATCCCCCTGAATGACTCCGAAGCTATGCTCAGTGGGGAATTTGATAACGATGTGGTAAGAGATGGTTGCCTTGAGTGCATGGAGGGTTAGTCTCCTAATGATGGCATTGTAGGGGGAGTCGATCCTCACGACCAGGAACTCGTTCATCCTCGTCACCTACCAAGGCTCTGTCCCTATCGTGACGAGCATGGTGATTCTTCCTTTTGGTCTTACCACATTGCTGGAGAAGCCGATGAGTTGCACCTTGGTGGGATGAAGGCACTTGAGCACCAACTTCATTCTTTTGAATGCGTCATAGAAGAAGATTATGATCGAGGAGACGTTGTCCACCAGAATCCTCTTCACCAAAAAATTTGCGACGACGAAAGTCACTACGAGTGTGTCGTCATAGGGCACTGAGATCCCCTTCAAGTCCTCATTTGTGAATGCAAGGGATTCTACTTGCTTCAGCTTCTTGGGAGCTGGTCCCTAGATGTTCAGTTGCCTGGCATAGGCCTTGCGGACTAAGGCTAAGGCACCACCTGAGGCCGAGCCCCCGACAATGACGTCTATGTCACCCACTAACTGTTGTTGTTGCTACAAGGATGAGGCACCAGCCTCGCCCCCCACATACTACTTCAGGTGGTCATAGCAAATGAGGGACTCTATTTCATTTTTCAACTCATAGTAGTCCTTAGTGTCATTATCGGTGTCGTGATGGTACTTACAGTACTTCTTCAGGTTTTCCCTCTTGAGGTTCCTCTTCATCTTCTCGGGCCACTTCACGTACTCCCCCTTCCTGACCAAAATGAGGATCTTGATGTTGTTGTTGCGTATACTGGTTGTAAGCCAGGGCCGAGGCCAGTGGATTCTTGTTGTTATCATTGCGGCCATCTCCATTCCTTCTCTTTTTCTCTGGACCCCCGTGTGATAGTCAGCCTCTCCTTCATGGCGGTCGCCGGTTGAGGCCTCCTCGGCGGCAATGTACTTCTAGGCCTTCTTTAGAAATTCTGCCTTGGACTTTGGCGAGGTCTTGGCTACTGAGCACTTGAGGGTCAAATTGGGGAGGAGACCGTTGATGGCGGTGTGCATGGAAACCATGGAGTCAAGGTCTCAGACCTCGATATCCTCCTTAAAGCGGCCGATGTAGGACCATAAGCTCTCGCCACACTTTTGTCAGATGTCCATGAGGGAGATAACGCTCTTCTGGCATCGCTTGTTGCTGATGAAGTGGGCAAAGAAGAGGCTTGCGAACTGTTTCCATGAACTAGCGGAGCGAGGAGGGAGCCCAGAGAACCATCAGCCGGCTTCCCTTTGAAAGTCGCTTGGAAAGTCCAGCACGTTAGGGCGTTGGAGTATCCATAAAGGAGCATGAGCTCCTTAAAACATTCTAGGTAGTCATCCGGGTTGGTCATCCCATCGTACATTTCAAGCATAGGTGATTTGAAGTGTGGGGGTAGAGGCTCGAAGATGATGTCCAAGGTGAAGGCATCCATCCTCCCAGACGAATGAGTCTGACAAGTTGAGGCTTCGGCTCGGCTCTCTTTGACTTGGTGGAGCTCATCCTTGACGTCACTGAGCTACGCCTTCAGGTCGACAATTTTCTGGTCAAGAGGGGCCTGGGCCCCGTCCCAGTCCTCTCAAACTTGGTAGGGGTCGGCCTAGATCCCCGAATACTCTGATGCGGGTTCGCATCCATTTCTCCTAGCCCACCTATCACTCAAGAGGTCTCGAAGGTCCAAGACACGGGATGGAGAGGAACGGCATCAGCCCTCAGCCCTCGAGAGGGGGCTGTGATGGCCTAATTGCTTGCCTTCATCCCAGGAGTTCTCTCTTCAGTGGTGGTCGCAAGACTATGCTGACTCTTCCCCTCTTTGACTAGGGGGTTGTGAGGTCCTCGGTGGTTGACTAGTGCGCCGGTTACTATCAAACTCTGAGGGGTTGGCCCTATTGAATCCAACTGGGCCGATGGCTAAGGGGTCCGGAGACGCTCACTCACCATGGTGCCCCAGACTCCCGACAGAGTGGCCTCCTGCTAGGTGCCTCACCTCATCCAGCCTCTACATGAGGTTGTCGAGCCATTCAAGGACCGCTTGAAACTGGTCCATCGTGACCAGGTTCTAAGTGTTCCTATTGTTTCTTTCCATGTTGGCTAAATATTAAGCTTAGGAGTTGATTCTTTAAGTTATATGAGAGTTTAATGGAAGGAAGTCTTAGTGACATTTCCCACAGGCGGCGCCAATTGTTGCTAGCCAAAATGGGCCGAGGGAAACACTGTTAATTTGCTCTTGAGCTAAGGTGTGGTCGAGTAGTCCAAGGCCTAAAGTGGTCGAGGGCTGGTAGGCCTGTCCTACGAAGACTGAAGAAAGGAGAATGTCAGAGGCCCCCGGTTGGTACCCGAGGCAAAGACTCTGATGGTCAAATTAGTAAGACGAGGGTGCAAGGTGAACGAGGCCTGAGGTGTGAACACGCAAACGAGGCCACAAAGGAAATCAGGAATTCTCATGTCCAAGTTCTCAAGTTCTAGTCTCTTACCTTGAGGAGGTTGTCTCCTATTTATACTTAAAGCCGTTTAGAGGTAGATGGGCTCAGACGGTCTGAATGCGGGTCCGTACACAAAGAACACAACCATCCGAAGTCACCAAGTGCGACCGCACTACTGGTTCCGGAATACACACCAAGCTCTGTTCCTTGCACGCTTTAATTGGATCCACTCTAAACACCGCCACCTAACACATGCAGGCCCGCTATTGGGTAGGGCCACATACACCTACATCAGATCGTAAAAATGAGAGTCCTGAGAATTGATGCCAAAGAAGGCCTAAATAACTTCATAATTTACTCGTAATGTGTATGGCTTCTATCTTATTTGGGGCTGGGCTGAGAAGTTGAGGAAGTATGATTTGTATTTGGTTGTGGAGCGTTTTTCCTATAATTTTATTTTTGTGCTTTTAATACTAGTTAGTTAATAAAATTTAAGATCCCCTCCACCTAGAGTAAATTAAGGGGTTTAAAATATTTTCACATTTTATTTAACTTGTACTGTCACATAATTTAGACGTAACCTAGAAAAATAAAAACAAAATTGACGTAACCTGAAAGTTATTGTTAAGACATACACTGATACAAAAGCATGAAACACATGTAGCCAAGCCTAAGACAGAGAACCGTGTGTATTTTTCCTCTAAGATAGATACATACAGGACAGAAGTTGCTGATTAGTCTTTTGTCATTTTTCTACCACTCAGCCTTAGTTTATGTTAAGTGAGAGGTGAGGTGGAGTCCAACTCTTTCTGTATTTCATTTTTTTTTTGCTTTTCTTTTTCTTTCTAACTATCGGCTGAGGCCTGGTTCGCTATGGTTAGTCTCAGACCCAGTTTGGCCTATCCGAAACTTCAATCCAAGTACAATCCGGATTTTTTTATGCAAAAGAAATGTGAGAATTCAGCATCCGAATTGAATTATGAAAAAGGGGGAAATTCTTGGTTAGTATCATGTATTTTAGGCTTAGTGTTATTTGGGTCCCTAAACTTTAAAATGTGAAAATTCAGTATCTGAATTTGGCATTTGAAAAGACACAAATGCCCTTCGAGTGTCATCTAATTTTCTTTATCAGCCATTTAAACATTGACAAAAAAAAGTTAACAGTCACAAATCTTTGTATCTTCTATTCAATAAAGCTGGGGTCACGTCTCAGTGGCATTTTGGTGACCCCAACTTTCTTGAATAGAAAAGGCAATGATTTGGGACAGTTTATTTTTTATCAATGTTTGGATGATTAATAAAGAAAATTAGATGACACTCAAAAGGTCATTTGTGTCTTTTCAAATGCCACTTAATGGATGATTGACCATAAATACTAAATTGGCACATTTTAAAAATTCTGATACTGAATTGTGAAGACCAAACTAGCACTAGGCCCAAAATACAATATACTAATCGACAAATTTCCCCTAAAAAAATTTCTAAATTTATTCATTTGGTTCAATTTTGAGTTCGGTTGGACCCATTAATATTAAGTCCAATTTCAGCGTTCTGTAGTAAGATTGTGCCTCATACAACTTTGATTCAACACAAAATCTGGTAACTTCTATAAACAGTAATCCATGTCCATTATATTATTGCAAGTACCGATATAAAAAGATACAAAGCATTTCGATCCAGGGTGTGATCCTGGGCAGGCCGTGCTGGTCAAACTATGGTCATGGCCTGAACGCAAAGGGCCAAGTGGTCCAAGCCTAGAAGGCCGGGCCGGGCTGAAAATGATCACCATTGTTTCGATAATGTTCTCAACCCAAGTGCCGATTCTTTTTACAGAAAACAAGGAGACCGGGATGACAGACAACCCATGAATCTAACATTCCAGCTACAAAACATCTAGAAGCAAAAATTGAGGTCCAATTTGACGAAACATCCAGAGTTCGGCAGTTACCATAATTGGTTGAAGAGATCCATGTTATCGTCACTGTAGAAATCTAATACACATAAAGGATCTACTGGAGGGAGCAGAGAAAGTGGAGGCACAAGATCAGACTCTACCGAAGTCTCGAAAAAAATCTCATCGATGTAAGAATTTCCTGCCAAAAATGGTTCGGTCCAGAAATTATAATAGGCTTCTGGACATGTTTCTGGTAAAGCGATATTGTCATCCTCGAACCAGTGTGTGCCATTTACAGCTGCAGAATCACTGGAAGGTAGTTGTGAGGATGATGGAGAGCTTCCTATTTCATCCATAGGAACATAAGAGAAAGGCGCATCAGGTTCCAACTCTTTCATGTCATTAACCCCGGCTTTGCATTCAGAAATCTCATGGGAGTGGAGATTGTTTTCTGACATTTGCTTCAACCGTTTCTTTAGGTTAGTGTGCCAGTGGTTCTTCACTTCATTGTCTGTTCTTCCTGGTAATTTGGCGGCAATCGCTGCCCATCTGTAAATAGACTAACATAAGATTTCAGGAGTTCTCTAATGTTTATTTTTGTAAATATTAGTATTTAGATAAACAATCAGACCGTACTTATTTCCCAGAGACTCATGTAAGTTCATGATGAGTTCATCTTCCCCTTCGCTGAAGAGACCTCGTCTAATATTCGGTCGCAGGTAATTAACCCATCGGAGTCTGCAACTCTTGCCACACCTTTTCAAACCTAAACACAGAAACCAAATCAATAAAACGAATAAATAGGAGATGATAATCCAAAGATGGGGAGTATTACTGCCATATAACAATCAACCAATTCATTCACTAGCTATCAAAGAACATTGGGTCTTTTTGAAAAATAAAAGTTAATGAAGCTGTCACCGTTAAGCAAGTAGAATCAAGCTATGTGGAAAAAACAACCATCGATTTTATTAACTAAAGATTTTTTTTTTTCTTTTTTGGAGGAGAAGGGATGATTTCAAAAGAGAATCCAGTGCAATAAATTCAACAGACCCGCCACTTCATCTTTTCGCAAATGAGGAGATGATTGGGAAAAAAAAAAGGATTAATTATCGAGATGAAGAACACCAAGATGACACTCAGGGCAATACTCTTGACAAAAAAACTAATCTAATTACTCTTGTTTACATGTCCTCCTACCAGCAAATCTTGGAAGCTCACGCCAGTTCCAATGGCCATATTTCTTAATATAATCTGTTAACTTCTCGTCTTCATCTGGCGTCCATGCCCCCTTCTTCAATCCCGTTTTCTCACAGTAGCCAGTCTTCACCATCTCCGATTGAAAAAAGTAAACACTGGTAAGGTATTTATTGGTGACAGCAGATATGTGATCACTGATCTGTCTCTCCTAAATTATTTAAGTTGCGGCTCAAGCTCAAATGCTGAACATCACTCTGTGAAATTCAATTTATAGCATTCATCCAAGGAAATCCCATGATCAGCGTCGTATTTCAAATAAATTTACACTGTAAAATGCCATATTTTCAAGGCAAAGAGGGTCCCTCCTGGAATGTGCAACTAATAATAGAATGCCATTTTATTCAAACTGTGAGGGACCCTCCTCGAATCTCCGACGACCTATATTTGTTTGCTTTCTTCAATTTTAACCGTGTTCCGAGGTGGAATATTAATATAAACAGTCTACAATTGCTGATACTGATAGCATTATAGCAATCCAGCCGTCCAGGGGCTGCGCGTGTTGAACATCATATTTTTGAATAATCTCTTATCTGTATCCTTAGCTTGTTCCTAGGTGGATCATGGATGATTCTGAGAAGGATGACATGAGTGACGGGCGATGGCGTACCTCATGGATGATTCTTTTTTTTTTTTTTCTGTTTTAATACCAAAGCAGGTTGTACATCATCATATATAAAATATAGCCATATACATAAAGTAGCTAGGTTCTTTCTTTATCCAATAAAATAAGCAGGTTAAAATTTCCAGCAGATACAAAATAAGCTAGAAAAGCTACAAGCTTTCACACGAAAATTTCTTACTTGGAAAAATTTTGAATCAGAGTAAGGGTCCTTTCTAGTCGGGAGTCGGATGATCCAGAGAAGCCCAATACTCTTGAGGCATGTTTTAGGAGAGAAACATAAAGTTGAGGGAATTTTCTGTCAAACTTTCCCTCAATTCTCTCTTTCTCTCTTATTTTTTTGTCAAACCAAAAACAATCTAAATGATTAGAATTTCTCTAAGTGGCAATATATACTGGGTCCAAAAGGGGTCAGCAGATGAGAATGGCCACTTTGTGAAAGAAAATGTCTATGCCTCTATGGTAAGTATTCAGTCCAGCTCTCCCAAATCACTGTTCTCATCAGCCACTGATAATCCTCAACTTTCGTCACCCCAAAGCAATTACCTAAAAATACATCAAATCAATAGGGTATTTTAGAAATAAAATTATGGGATCCTAAGGTTTTAAAAATTAGAGAAAATAGAAAAGTATTTTAATAATTTATATCAAATCTATAAATAATTTTAGAAATGGGATTATGGGATCTTAAGGTTTTGAAAATTAGAGAAAATGAAAAAGTATTTTAATAATTTACCACTAGATTTGGGAATTATGATGGACTCCATCCGATTTAAGATTGGGAAGAACTCACTCTATTCAGGGTGGGGGCAAATTGATGCCTAGTTTCTCTAATTGTTGGATCTTGTTGATGACTTAGTTATCACAATGATTATTTGGCACCCCTCCAAATGGTAAGTCGTGGAATGAAATCTGCTAAACTGCAAGCCCTCTATGATATGGTCAATGGGCCTCACGTGCACCCTGCTCTACTCCGCACATAACTCTTCTAGTATGTAAATAAATGTAAAGCATAAAAAATTCATATTTTCATCCTTTACATGCATGATTCAAAGAACTTCACATCTATTTAGACTTTAGATTAAATAAGACATTGTGAAATGATTTATTTATCATATTGTGTTTAGTCAATAAGCAATTAAATAGAGTGGATGGTGAAGGATTGGAGTTGTGGCAAGAAACAAACAGGGATGGAAAATTCCAATTTGTCTTAGCAAGGATAAATATTGAAGTGCGTTCGATCAACCTGGGAAAGGCATGGGCAGTATTGGAAGCACATCAACCTGCGATGAAGCTTAAACATAGAAGCTTGACCATTGAATGAAGGAGATTTAGGCCTGCTTGGTTTGCAGGAATAGGCGTCTGGAATCAGAATCGGAACGAGACATTCTAATTCTAATTATTTGGTTGGGTGGAAACGGAATTCCATTCTCATTCTGAGTGGAACAACATTCTCCGCATTTGAGGGAATGGTGATTTCTTCCAAAATCAGATTTGGTCCTTACAAAATTGTGTTCACACCATTCTCATAGTCTTTTTCAGTGGTGTAATAAGAATATCTCCCCATGAATAAAATGATAAAGTATGGAGATGTTCCCAATGCAAGGCTGAAAAGGGTTGTGGGAACAGTGTAAGCACAATTTTGTGAGGACTGAAAAGGGTGGGTGACAAATGCAAATAAACGCTTATTCGAATAAGCATTTATTTTTAAACAACACTCTCAAACTTGGCCTAAAATGGGAGCCGGCAGCTGCTGGTGTGGAAATTTATTTACATTTGTCTTAAGCCCTGTTCGCTTTTAGGTAAGTTACTTACTCAGGTTAATGCAGTTACCTGAGTAAGTTTTTCTTGTGAAACACTTACCCGGGTAAGTGCATTTACCCATGTTCTTTTATTTCACATGTAAATAAGGCAATGATCATTTTAGGTATAAAAATCCGTTATTAAAAGGGGTATTTTTGTACCATTCAAGTGTTGGCAACTTTCTCCCTATGTGGAAAAGTTATTTACCCACCTAGAAGATGGGTATCCCGGGTAAATAATACCCAAAAATATAAATTTTGCCTGTTCCCCACATAAATATGAAAAAAAAAATATAGGATTCTTGGTCAATGGAAACCAAAATCCCATTGACCAACTTTACCCCCTCTGAAGATCTGAAAAAAAAAAAACACCCTCTCAATGACATCTAGGTAAGTCTATCCCCATAAAGTGTGGTCCATTGTTTTTCGTGGAGAGAAAGAGTATGAGATCATGAGATCACTAATTGTTGAATAGCATGTATTGATGTCTATTTTTTTCCACCATATACTATTTTATCTACTAAAAACAAGTGGCAATAAATAATTTAACTTAATCAATTTTAACACTTATCAAAAGCCCCGGATATATATAAAACAGGGATCGAATAGGCTGACGAAGATCGTGAGAGAGATTCATGTGGTAGATCTAAAGGACTTAGAGAGGGAGAGAAAAGTCCTGGTGGACCATGGTGTGATTCATTGCAATTAATAAATAAATAAAGTTGTGTAGAGAAGAAAGCAACTTGACCCAAATAGGCCACATTTTTCACCAGTTCACATATAGGTGGAAGAATTTTGAATGGCATATATAGACTCATGTTGCATCAACTGCACCACAAAACATAAAATCCTGAACTATTAATTGCTACAATTCTTCTCTCTTCTCCTGCACGACGATCGACACAAAAATAAAACAAAAAAATCAATACAAAAACAAAAAACAAATCAAAAAAGACGTCAATTCTGAGACAAAAACCCAAATAAGGTTTTAGCATATGGAAGCAAGGACAACCCATGGCAAATATCACGTGTTCGCTATCCATATTAGAATTTCAACATCCTTGACTTGTAGAGAAGACTCCATTCCCCGTCAACTGGATTATTTCATTTGGTGGGGCCGGAGACTGAAACGGAACCTTAGAAGTTAAAAATGAATTGGGTCCACCCTATTATGATGGATTCCACTCCCCAAGGGCCAACTGGCCAAGGGTATTTTCACACTCCAAGGGATTTTTTCTTCGCTTTTTTTTATTGATTACTGGTCAATGACATCTTATTAAGTATGGGGAATCAGTGGTAATGTTAAATTTACATTATAGAATTAATAATATTAAATTTATATTTATTAATATTTTAAATAATTATTAAAATTTTAAGAAATATTTATTTCAAAAAATAGTTTTTTTAATAATTATTAGAATATGGATAGTTTTTTTTATTATAATACATAAAGGACTTATGATTAATTGAGATTGATAGAATGTAGTGAGTTGTGGGCTTTAGTAGGAATTTCTCAAAAATTGCCACATGTCTAACTTTCTGAAAATGAGAAGGCCACTTATCTAAATGGTGGTAGTGGGTTGTAGGTTTTAACAGCAACTTCTCAAAAAATGTCATGTGTCTAAATTTGATAAAGCCACGTGTCTGAATGGTGGGGGTTATAGCCTAAAAGCCTTTCTTTATAAAGACTTTGGGGGTAGTGGCAACGCGAATCCATAATGGAAAAAGACTTTGCTAACTACCACAAGGAATTGACGAAGTACCAACCGCCAAATGATGGCGTCATTGTTGCCACATAGGATTAGTTATGACGCGCTAAAAGGTAGTAGCACATGTGAGTAATGAGGGATTTCAAGGATAAGGAAAGCCAATCCTTGAAAAAATCCTCATGAGACACGTGGCGATACCCCAATAGCACATCTAATAATTTACAGCAAACAAATATTCCCTTCCCCGATATGGAGCGAATATCCTCATCTCCTACCTTTTAGGATCTCAAGACCTCTCCCATAAATAGATATCCTCTTCACATTAGAAATCATCAGAACCTAAGCATTCGTCACCCAGTTCTCCCGAGTACGTCCTAACTCCCCCATTGTACAACCCCTGACCTAAGACCTCTGTCCTTTCTCTCTTGTGGCCGTTCTTCTGTCTTTCCAACAGACTACTCCTCACCCCAGATGATGTAACCGTTTCCGGTCACGTATCATTTTTTTTTTGCTAAGTACCTCGTCATCCCGTCTACTCCCAAGTGGCCAATGACTCAGGGGCTGAAGTGGAGCTCCCTAGTGTAGTGCAACTCAGCTGCTCCCTACAGGAGGTGATATGGCTACCAGCAACGACGGGAATTGAACCGGCTACTTTCTGCTGGAGATGATCTGCTCATCTTTGTAGAATGCGGGAATTGAGGGACCTGCATGAACTGAATCAGAGAACCCGGGGATGCTTACCCGATGAGGTCACTCTGATGGCTAAGTCAGCACTCAGTAGTGAGCAAAGAATGATATTAGAGAATGAGAGAGCTAGAGAGCGGGGGCTACCATCTCTCCCTCGCCCCTGGGGGTGAGGCCTTTATATACTAGAGTCCTCGTGGGTTTGGTGGAGCAGTTCCTGGATTCCCGCTGTGATGGGACCTGCTTTCGTGTTAGGTGTGGATAATGCCACCAACCAGTAAGGTTGCCCATCTCCGCTTGAATCAGGGAGTGGGGGAGCTAATATAGCCGTTACAAATCACAATCCCGTAAAATATGGGGTACGGTGGTGAGCTCCTAGGAATTATCACGCGGTGGCCGAGCTGCGTGTG